CTTCGGGGCTTGGCTAGGGTGCGTTCCCCTCTGTCCTCAGGACGGGGCTGGGCTGGGCTGCGTTCCCCTCCATCTTCGGGGCTTGGCTAGGGTGCATTCCCCTCTGTCCTCAGGACGGGGCTGGGCTGGGCTGCGGTCCCCTCCATTCTCAGGGCTGGGCTGGGCTGCGTTCCCCTCCATCCTCAGGGCTGGGCTGGGCTGGGCTGGGCTGCGGTCCCCTCCATCCTCAGGGCTGGGCTGGGCTGGGCTGGGCTGCATTCCCCTCCATCCTCCCTCCATCCTCAGGGCTGGGCTGGGCTGGGCTGGGCTGCATTCCCCTCCATCCTCGGGATGGGGCTGGGCTGGGCTGCATTCCCCTCCATCCTCGGGATGGGGCTGGGCTGGGCTGCATTCCCCTCCGTCCTCAGGGCTGGGCTGGGCTGCGTTCTCCTCCATCCTCAGGGCTGGGCTGCGTTCCCCTCCATCCTCAGGGCTGGGCTGGGCTGCGTTCCCCTCCATCCTCGGGATGGGGCTGGGCTGGGCTGGGGTACTGTCCCCTCTGTCCTCAGGGCTGGGCTGGGGTGACCTTTGGCAGGGTTGGGGCTGATCCATTACTTGGAAGTGTACACTCCTGGCATGAACTGGAGCCGCCACTCCCTCTCAGGGAGGCCAGCCGTGCCCCGGGCAGGGCCCAGCACTGTCCTCTCCCCTGCCAGCACTTCGTCCTAGCCGGCTGGGCCGTGGCTCGGCACCAGCATATGTCTGCGCTGGGATGAGCCTGAGCTGCCCGGAGCCGCCTGACCACATGGTGCTGGCCATGCCACCCGCGCGCACAGCCCGCCCCTGGTCTCGTGGGCTCCCCATCATCTGCACCTCTGTCCGTGCCATCCTGGGAGCTCAGGAGGAGCTCAGAGAAGCACTTTGGGCCTGCTGGCTGGCCGGAGGCTCGGGTCTGTGGGGCCCTGCCAGCCCTGGGTGCCTGTGGGGGGCACGGGGTTTCCTAGCTGTGTGGGGGCTGCCCCGCCTGCAGACTCCCTCCTCCGACCCCCTCCACCTGGCCACTTCTCACCACGGGGCTCACCTGGGTTGTCGTATCTTGTCTCCACAGATGGACCATGACCCCAAGAGCCCTGCGTACATCGCCACCCAGGGACCGCTCCCCGCTACCGTGGCCGACTTCTGGCAGGTGAAACTTCTTAATTAAAAATTCTTCTCTGGAAAGAAAAGTCTAGTACTTTAGCCATGAATTGCACACTGGATTCCATTAAGTCATTTCAACGTTCTAAGGGGGGGCCTTCAAATACTCCTTGATTTCAGAATTTATCCCAGTCCTTGAGTATCTTTAGCATCAAGCTTTTTGCTAAAGTTTTCAGAAAAAATCAGCAAAAAGCTTGATTTTTTTTTTAGGCACTTTACCGTTAATCTTACAAACAGAGGGAAATGGAATGGTACATGTTTAAATTATTAGATCTTATCCAACTGTGCTTCTTATGTATTGTTTTATTCTTACGAAGGTTTAAAATGGTGTTCAAATTATATTTTATCTATCTGCTTGCTTTGAAGAGTCAAAATGTATTTGAAGGTCAGGCTGCTCTATCTCTTCATCTAGAGCAATCCTGAATGGCCCAGAGCAAGGTCTAGACATTAAGATCCATTAAGATTCTCGCTCAGAAGGGCAAAGCTGGGTGGACATATGGTCACCAGCCATTTGAGAAAGCTAAGCAGGAGTGGGTTCTGGAAAGTTCCACATGGGGTACCTGCAGGAGCATGAGTTCACTCACTCAGTGGCAGTCACCACCTCCAGAGACAGAGGTGCCCTGAAACAGAGATGCAGACAGCAGCAGTGGGCAGCGGGGATGGAGGAGGGGGCAGCTGTGGGGATGGAGGAGGGGCAGCCGTGGGCAGCAGTGGGGATGGAGGAGGGGCAGCCGTGGGCAGCAGCGGGCAGACAGGGCAGCAGCGGGTGGGCAGAGGAGGGGGCGTGGAGGAGCCCCGTCGCTGGCAGCGGTAGTCCCGAACTGCAGCGGCTGGTCCCGCGGGGTTGAACCGCTCCGGATCACTAGAGGTGACTCGCTCTCCGGTGATCACAGAAGACACTGTCGCCCTGGCTCAGGGTCAACTCCGTTCTCTTGGCTGTCCCCTTTCCTCGCTTCGCCGTCTGCTCTCTTCCTGTTCTGCCTCCAGGACGGCTCCGTGGGGCTCCCTGGGGCCGTTGGCCCCCTGAGCATACAGACGCTCCCTGATGGGGCAACGCGTGGGGAGGGGAGTCAGGAGTTCGGTATCTTACTCCTCCGTGCGGCAAAGCCAGGCGTGGAAGCTGTTGGTACAGGCACCTGCGGCCTGACCACCCGTGCATCAGGCTGTTGAAAAGTCAACTTGGCTCAGTGTGACTCCATGCCTGAGTTCTCGTCGGCCTCGCGGGAGGTGGCCCCGGCTCTGACGCTGCCATTCCCCCCGTGTCAGTCAACAAGTAACCCGGGGAGACCCCAGGCGGGCTCCAGACAGCACCACAGGGCACCGCCTGAAGCGTGCACCGCCCAGTGCTGCTCTCAGAATGGAACCCGTAGTCTGTCCCTGTGTGACAGACGCAGTCCCCCCTGGCTTTCCTCTCCCCAGATCTGTATGGCGTCAGTGCCCCAGATAGTGGTTCCCCCATTTTTACCAACTGCTTTACCTCCCACGAGACAACTCAGACAACCCCCGAGGCCCACAGAGCCACGGTTTCCAGAGGGGCTGCGATGCAACAAGAGCCACACCTGGCCGCACACATCCCCACCCCCCGCCTGCCAGGCCTGCCATGAGGACGCACGGCTGACCGCCGCCCTGCGGCCCGCTGACCTCTGCCCTGCGACCCGCTGACCTCTGCCCTGCGGCCCGCTGACCTTGCCCTGCGGCCTGTGGGACTTGGCCACCGAGGTCCATCCGTTTCACAGTGGAAAACAAGCGTCTCTGTACATGAAGTTGCCGGGGAAGACATTAGAATCATTTGGGATGTACCGCGGTCAGCATTGACCCAGTGGTTCTGGGACACAGTGTCCCTCAGAGCGCTGCAGTCTGTCCAGAGATGAGAAGCCTGTGACCCCCCCACCCCCCCACCAGTGTCGTTGTGAGCAGGGAAGCCTTTACAAAGCTGAACCAGAGACCTGGGCCGCCCTGCTGGCGGTGCGGCACAGCCGGACACCATGGCCGGGGACGGGCCTCTGCCGCCGGCACCACCGGCTGGCCGGCCTCCAGGCCGCGCATCTGAGGACAGGGACGCTTGGGCGCGGTCTGGTCTTTGCCCCTGAGGCTGCGCCGCACACCAGCGGGCACAGAAGCAAGTGTCCTGTCGGGTGTCTGCAGACCCACGGCGGGCGCCGGCCCTGCCGCGCGGCGGGGAGCTGAGCCGGAGGCTGCGCAGGGCCGGCTGGCACCCTCCCCCCCCTTCTCGCTCTGGAGAATGGCCTCCAGTGCTGACCAAGGCACCAACACCTACTGCGGAAAGCACCAACACAGCGCCACCCTGCAGCAGGCCACGAAGAGCAAATTCCCGCAAAGAAAGGCAGCCTGTAGGTGGAGGAAGGCGGGGGTGGCAGGTGGCTGCGCTCACTTCCTGGCCACTGTGGCCAGGTGCCACCGGACGGCAGGATTTAACCGGCCTGCCATCCCCACCGGGGGCATCCTGGGCCAGGCGGGCCCCGCAGACCACTACTGCCACCAAACGGGGACCGCGGACCATCGCGTCACACTGTCCCCACACAGCTGCCGCCCCTGCGCTGCAGCCGCGCTCTGCGGCTCCGGATACCAGCGGGCGCCGGCGGAGCCCGGCCCCCCGCAGCCGGACTCCCCACGTGCCCGCCCTCCCTCCTGACCCCCACCGCCCTGGCATCTCCACCACACGGCTCCGCGGAAGCAAAGCCCGCCATGTGCGGGAATGCCCAGGGAGACGCCCAGCCCTTCCGCAGAAAGCGCCACTGTCACCTGACCCGGCCGGGCCGTCCCCAAGCTCACGACAAAATCCACTCTGCGTTAAAACCTTCCCAAGGCCAGACGTACAGTCATCCCTGGGAACTGGTCCACACACTGACATCCATCCCGGGACGCACCCCAGATCCCAACACACACCCCAGAACCCACCACACACACACACACACACACCAGAACCCAACACACACCCCAGAAACCAACACACACACACATACTAGAACCCAACACACACACACACACACACACACACCAGAACCCAACACACACCCCAGAAACCAACACACACACACACTCACACACCAGAACCCACCACACACACCGGAACCCAACACACACACACACATACACACCCTGGAACCCACCACACACACACACACACCAGAAACCAACACACACACACCAGAACCCAACACACACACATACACACACCAGAAACCAACACACACCCCAGAAACCAACACACACACATACACACCCTGGAACACACACACACATCTCAGAACCCACCACACACACCTTGGAATCCACCACACACACACACACCAGAACCCAACACACACCCCAGAAACCAACACACACACACACACCAGAACCCACCACACACACCGGAACCCAACACACACACACACATACACACCCTGGAACCCACCACACACACACACACACATACCAGAACCCAACACACACACTGGAACCCAACACACACACACACACCAGAACCCAACACACACACCGGAACCCAACACACACACACATACACACCCTGGAACCCAACACACACACACAAACACACACATACAAGAACCCAACACACACCCCAGAAACCAACACACACACACACACACCAGAACCCAACACACACCGGAACCTGACACACACACATACACACCCTGGAACCCACCACACACACACACACACACACACACAAACCCCAGAACCCACCATACACACACCACAACCCACCCCACACACAGGCACTGGAGCTTTGGGGGTTTGGAGGCCCTTATACAAACAAATAACACAGTGCAAAGACTGCACACCTCTTCCCACACTTTCAATCAGAGGGCTCACAACAACTGAGTCCGTGCCTATAACACGTATGGTTGTTCAAGGAATCGTGACTGGGCTTCTTTTCAGTGCAGACCCAAGGTCTCGTGTTTAAACAGACCAGGATGGTCAGCTCTGCTGAGCATGGGAGGGATCTGCCCAGACTGAGCACCTCAAGGGCTGTGTGACGCTGTTAGCTCCCGTCTGTGAGCTGCGCAGACACTGAGCACCCTCGAGGGCTGTGTGACGCTGTTAGCTCCCGTCTGTGATCTGCCCAGACTGAGCACCCGCGAGGGCTGTGTGACGCTGTTAGCTCCCGTCTGTGATCTGCGCAGACACTGAGCACCCGCGAGGGCTGTGTGACGCTGTTAGCTCCTGAGCACCCGCGAGGGCTGTGTGACGCTGTTAGCTCCCGTCTGTGAGCTGCCCAGACTGAGCACCCGCGAGGGCTGTGTGACGCTGTTAGCTCCCGTCTGTGAGCTGCGCAGACACTGAGCACCTCGAGGGCTGTGTGACGCTGTTAGCGCCCGTCTGTGAGCTGCACAGACTGAGCACCCGCGAGGGCTCTGTGACACTGTTAGCTCCCGTCTGTGATCTGCGCAGACTGAGCACCCGCGAGGGCTGTGTGACGCTGTTAGCTCCCGTCTGTGAGCTGCGCAGACTGAGCACCCGCGAGGGCTGTGTGACGCTGTTAGCTCCCGTCTGTGATCTGGAGGGCTGTGTGACGCTGTTAGCTCCCGTCTGTGATCTGCCTAGACACTGAGCACCCGCGAGGGCTGTGTGACGCTGTTAGCACCCGTCTGTGAGCTGCGCAGACTGAGCACCCGCGAGGGCTGTGTGACGCTGTTAGCTCCCGTCTGTGATCTGCCCAGACTGAGCACCCGCGAGGGCTGTGTGACGCTGTTAGCTCCCGTCTGTGATCTGCGCAGACTGAGCACCCGCGAGGGCTGTGTGACGCTGTTAGCTCCCGTCTGTGAGCTGCGCAGACACTGAGCACCCGCGAGGGCTGTGTGACGCTGTTAGCTCCCGTCTGTGATCTGCGCAGACACTGAGCACCCGCGAGGGCTGTGTGACGCTGTTAGCTCCAGTGTCAGCTTTGCTAGACAAATAACATGACTTAGAAATAATCCCTTTTTTAAAGAAAAAAACTGTAGAGTTTATCCTGTCACAAAG